CCCCCCCCCGTCGTCCCCCCCGCCCACCACCACCACCCCACCGCAGCAGTCTGGGACTTGCTGATTCTGGAATATCTGTGGTTTGGTTTCAGGACCAGAGTGCTGCAGTTTATAGAGATGAAACCAGTATAATAACCACTGTTACTGGTACCATTATAATTGCAACAAAACCTATACCAAATATGACAAGCGTTAAGCATCCTGCAGGCTAAATGACCTAGAAGTCAAGCTATAGAGACATGTAAACAAAGTATAAAATGGTCATTAGTGACATTCAATGCTAGATAGGCTAGAATTTTGACATGCAAACTCTTGTTGCTAGTAGGAATGTAGATACAAAGGCAGCAGCACATAGTAGCTTCTGCCTTGGCTTCACATTCAAATAGTGTAATACTTTGTGAATCTATATGACCCATCACTAAGCTAAGGTATCAGATAACAGTGGTATTAAAAAAATTCACTGAAGTTTGCTAGTAAACTTGACTGTTTATTCTCTGTCTAAGACTACCCTACACAGCATGCACTGACAGGGCTGTGAGGATTATGTTGCTAAAAATTAAGTAGCATAAACACTGTTTGTCTGCACTTTTGCAGACAAAAATCTTCCACCCACTTTGGAAGTTTGCAGACAATGCATTATTTACAGTAGTTCTTGCCCAAGCAAAGCTTCTGTATTTCAGGGGAGGGTTTTTTTAAGCACCTGTGAACCATAAAAACTGTCTTGCTCAATTGCCAATGTACACAAAACCTCAGATAAGGCTCTGGCCACAGTGATCAATGCATTAATCACCTTCAGATTGGATTATCATAATTCACTCTGTTCTAGGATAGAACGTTATGATAATGCAGATACAGGCAGTCCCCGGGTTACGTACAAGATAGGGACTGTAGGTTTGTTCTTAAGTTGAATTTGTATGTAAGTCGGAACTGGTACATATTGTAGGGGAAACTCTAGCCAAACATTTCTCCAGAGCTCAGTTTTATTCTCCCACACCTCACTTCCCTCAGGGTATTATTCTCAAACTGAGGTGTCTGCTGAGAAAAGCTGCTCCGCATCTCCCTGGTCTGCTGGGGG